AAACTACTGTGTGTGTGTGTGTGTGTGTGTGTGTGTGTGTGTGTGTGTGTGTGCATATAGACATGCAAATTTCCTGTATCCATCCATGAAACGGTAGGAGATTCAAGGAGTAAAGAGCAGGGAGAATTTGGGAGGTGGTCGGACTGGAAATGCCTTATATTTTAATCTCGGAGGAAGAGATTGTGAATGAGATTGTTCACCCACCCATATAAGGTGAGAACCTTATAAGGGTTTCTTTTTCCACCAACCTGTGCTATACGCTGCACTATGGAGGAAATGTAAGAGATCAACAGACTTTCACCATATTCTTCATGTCTGATAATAAAAGTAAATAGACCAGGTCTTAGACAAGACTAGTTATTAAAATTTGCTGATTTATAAAACTCTGTGATAATGGTTTTACAAATTATAATTTTAATAGAATTAGATTTGTCTAGGCAATAAAATGAGAGAAGAAATTGCTCAGCAACCAATAAAGTCATGGGTCTTGAAGCATAAGATTTTATTTACTTGTGTAACAAATATCACTCCTACTCAGCTGGGATTTTATGTGTGTTAAATAGCAGCAGACGTTTTTAAAAATACAGTAGAATCGCTTTAATCCACACTAATATCAGGGAGACCCTTTGCCAATTACCAAATGTTGTGATTTTGCTAATGTGAGAAAAGCAATGTTTTAAAAAATGTATACTCCATCAAGCAAATATATTCTAGGAACTCACTAGGGCCCTGATCCAGCTCCGATCAAAATCATTTACATTGATTTCTGGGAGCTGGATTAGTCCCCAATCTTCATTACTGTAGAGGGGCTCCATGATAGTTTGCTAAGTAGTGAGTACTGGGTTGGGATGTGAAGCATTAGTGCCATCAGCCCTGTTTCAGGGCATCACTGCTTCCCAGCATAAACTTCAAATCCAAAAATCCCGAACCATTGTGGCTTTGTGTTGGTGATTTTAGTGTGTAAGATGTTGTGATGTGTTTCTCATTTCATTTTCTAGGACAATCTATATATGCTAAGAATATGTATAAAAATAAAATATCCTTTAGGCTGTAAAGGATAAAATATCCTTTAGGCTGTGCAGTATGCTTTCTCCCACCATTAGAGACTGAAAAACGGAAAATACTCTCATTAATCTACACAACCACCCCCATGGTCCCAAAGAACAGTTATGTAATACGCAGATATGGCAAAGAGAGATTCCCAGAGCTGACTCATTTGTGCTCTCTTTTGTAGAAATTGCAATATATTTCCTTCAAGGGAGAGCTAGTAGTGTAGAGATTAGAACCCAGGCCTGGGAGCCAGAGCTCCTGACTATGCTACCATGCATCTTCTGGGTGGCTTAAAACCACTGTCTATTTTAGAGTACTAAATGAATGGTGCTAATTGTATTATTAGTATAAGTTGGTCTTTTGGAATTTTAGGGATCTTAAGAATTTTTAAATGCTACTCAAATTGTCACAGCCAATTCATTTTCCCTACTGCCCTTTATAAAGAAATGTGTTCTTTTTTAGGTATGGTGACATGAGGAGGCAAATTGGTTTTGAGATCAGAGACATGTGGTATAACCTAGGTGAGTAGCCAGAGCACTTCTTGTTTTGATCACTCATTTTGTGTGTATATTCATTTAAAACTATATAGCATTTAAAAAAAAAAATTCCTAAAATAATGGAATAGTTGCAAAGTCACGCACTCAGAATTCAGGTAATGCCAGAGTTGAAGTTTCCCATGCAAGCTTAATTAAGATAGTCTTTTATTACATGATTACACAGTATCTTTTCCACAGTACTCTCACCTCACACAAGATAGTTGATGCTCAGTTAATGGCAACTGTTCAATTATTTTTTTAATCCTCAACTGTGTACATGATCCTGTCACTGGAGACTGTATCATATGCACAAGGGACAGAACGAAAGTTGACGACTAACAATTCTGGTTGACGGTGGCGGTTCAGTTCTCTGTGGCTGTGACCAACAACTCAATAAGGTTGAGTTTCATGTGTCCTCTACTGGCTCATGCTGCTGTGTGATGGTATAAAGGGTGAAGCTGCCCCTGACCAGCCTCAGTTCCTTCTTGCCTCCCATGAGCGGTAGTGGGATTGTGTTGACTTGCTTTCCAAGTGTTCTCCCTTTCAGATTTTTTATATATAGTTATAGTGTGCTTGGCATAGTTAATAGAGCTTTTCAATAGGTTTCATTTATTTATTTATTTTAGATATTTAATGTTGCGTAGAGCAGTGGTTCTCAACCTGAGTTATGCAGACGTCTTCTAGACACAGGCACCAGCTTCCTTCTTGCCCCGTGGTTGCTCAATCCCCACTCAGCCCCAGGCCTCGCCCCCACCCCTTCCCCCAAACCCGCACTCCGGCTCTTCAGCTGAGCTTCAGCAGGAAGCACTAGGGGGGAGAGGGGAACTGGCTGCTAAGCACCTGCCAATTTTTTTGTGTTGTTTTTGTTGGGTGCTCCAGCCCACGAAGTCGGTGCTCCAACCCTGGAGCACCCATGGAGTCAGTGTCTGTGCTTCGAGAAGGTACAGCGACTCATCTCGATACTTGCCTAGTTTTACAACAGGCTACATCAGAAGCAAAGTCAGTACAAACTAAAATTCCATACGGACAATGATTTGTTTATACTGCTCTATATACTATGCACTGAAATGTAAGTCCAATATTTATATTCCAATTGATTTACTTTATAATTACATGGTAAAAATGAGAAAGTAAGCAATTTTTCAGTAATAGTGTGCTGTGACACTTTTGTATTTTTATGTCTGATTTTATAAGCAGGTCATTTTTAAGTGAGGTGAAATTTGGGGATACACAAGATGAATCAGACTCCTGAAAAGGTTGAGAGCTACTGACTTAGAGTGTTGGTTCCTGTGTATCTGGGTACTGACTCCCGGTACCGGGGCATGCCTCTGTCTTTGAGCTTGCACCCACGGCAAGAAGTCAGGGCTGGTGAGTGACCCTCACTCCAGGTGTCTGAAGTGCCTTGGGGAGGGTCCCATTCCGGGACAGGTGTAAAATATGTTGAGACTACAAGCCCCTGATTAAGGAGGACAGAGAGGTGAGACTGTGTTACCTCCTCATGAAGGCGGCCTTCAGTCCACCATCAGAACCTTCCCACTAAGGACAGGGGCCAAGAGCTTCTGCTTCCATAAGAAGTGGCTATTCAGATATTGTGGAGAGTCAGCGCCGCTCTCCTTCCCCACTACCGAGGAAGAAGCATAGACAAAATGCTTCGAAGGAGCCAGCCTCTACTAGGAGATCAAGGTCTCCAGTTCCATCTGCCAGCAAGGAGGCTGAAAGGCAGGGTAGAGTATCCCTGGAAAAGAGTTGCTCACTGGTACTGACTTCATCTTGTGTGGGGTCGTTGACACTGGTGCCTCTGTGGTCGAGACCTACCGACTCTGTGGTACCAACCCCTTTGATGCAACATCAGCAGCATTTGGAGAACTGGTCAGTATCCACGATGCCAGAGGCATATGCTGCACGCTGGATCTCCTATGCCTTTCAGCACCAGATTCTTCAGCTATTCTGGAGACAAATCTTCTGGTACTGATGAAACTGCAGTCTTTGTTGGGCTCCTTTGTGAGTAGCAGTATCCAACGTCCAGTATAAGGGCTCACTTCAGACTATCCAGTGCCTCCTTGTCCGGTGCCATCTAGAGGCAAGCCCAACAAGCTGTACCTGGTACCTACGTCTCCAGAGACACACTGCCAGTCCTCAGTACTGCGTGGTACCACACTTTCCGGGTCAGGCAACTCAGGCTCTTCCTCAGAGTTGGAAATAGGCTCCTGTGCCCCTCGCACCTGGAATAAAAGGCATCACTCACCTTCAACAAGAGGTACCGGGCAGAGGTCCCACAGTGGTCCAAGAACCCAGATCCATGGGCTGATAGGGGTTGGGGCCCCCTATCCTACCAACGGCTGTTCTGGAACTCATGAAAGTTTCCTCCCAGTACCAGATCCTCCCTGGTTCCTCCTTATCCCTGAACAGACATTAGGATAGCTCTCATGCAGAGACTCATGAGGTTATCCCCGTACCAAGGTTGGTACTGAACCTGACCATCCTTCCTGACAGAGCTTCCTGCAGAGGAGGTATAAGAGACTCCATCTCAACTCCCTTTTTAGCTCCTTGTCATTATCACTGTCTGAGGCAGCAATATCTGTGGTGGCCTCCTCTCTTTAGGATGACCTACTAAAGAAGGTTGCTTCCTCTCTGGACATCCAGGTGGACATCCCATAGACTGGTGGACATATTGGAGTCAGTGGAACCCTTTCATGTGGCTCTGCCTATAAACGAAGCTGTATTTGAAGCCCACAAGGCTAATGTGGCAGATGCCATCATCTCTGCTAATGATAACCAAGAGGACTGAATGGAGATTCTGGTGACATTGTAAATAAGAAGCGGGCAGCATTATCTCCTGTAAATGTAAACAAACTTGTTTGTCTTACCGATTGGCTAAACAAGAAGTAGGACTGAGTGGACTAGTAGGCTCTGAAGTTTACATTGTTTTGTTTTTGAGTGTAGTTATGTAACAAAAAAAATACATTTGTAAGTTGCACTTTCACGACAAAGAGATTGCACTACAGTACTTGTCTGAGGTGAATTGAAAAATACTATTTCTTTTATCATTTTATTTAATAAAAAATAATATACACTTTGATTTCAATTACAACACAATACAATATATATGAAAATGTAGAAAAACATCCAAAATATTTAATAAATGTCAATTGGTATTCTGTTGTTTAACAGTGCAATTAAAACTACAATTAACCGTGATTAATTTTTTTAATCGCTATTAATTTTTTTGAGATAATTGCATGAGTTAACTGCAATTAATCAACAGCCCCAGTAGAAAGATTTATTCTACTGCTGGCCTGCAGTTTTGTATCTCAAATCAGCAAGCCTTGCTCCGCAGCAATGTCCTTAAATTCATGGACAAATTACCAGAAGGTGTGAGGCAGGAGTTTCAGACTGTATTGGAGGATGGCAAGCTTATGGCTATGACCACTCTTCAAGCTGCGTTGGATGTGATGGATACAACAGCCAGAGCCATGGCATCTGCAGTAATGATGTGCAAATGTTCATGGCTTCCATCATCAGTTCTTCCTCATGAGTTCTAGCAGACTATACAGAATCTCTCCCTAACCCGAACCCTAACCTCTTATCTCAGCAGGCTGACAAGAAACTTCAGTCTTTGGGGATTTATATGCTTCTCCCGAAAAAAATACAGTTCCGCCCTCAAACATACCAGTGATGTTAGTCATTTATGTCTAGGCACCCTGACCAGTCTAGGAAGAAGGGGAAGAATCATAGGAGGAGACCTCTACCTCCTCAATTTCCTCCTTCTGACGGTGTCTCTAGGCAGCCCAATAATGCCAACCAGTCGGTTTGACAGCTTGGTTGAGGGCAGTTTACATCACACCAGTTTTTCCTACCCCTGTGTTTTCCAACAGATTATCCTACTTCCTATGTGCTTGGACCCATATTATCACAGATCAATGGGTTCTAAACACTGTGGAATTGGGGATACACTCTTCCATTTATTTCCAAACTTCCCTCCCATCCCTCCTTCCTCCACTCTCATGAGGCTGTCCTCCTCCCAGACATGCAGTCTGTTCTCCATTTGGGAGCTGTAGAGGAGGTTCCTGCCCTCCATCAAATAAAAGGATTTTATTCTCTTTACTTCCTGATCTCAAAGGCAAATGAAGGCCTAAGCTCCATTCTAGACCTGCGAAGAACTGAACAAATATATGAATAAAATAAGTTTGTGTATGGTCACCCTAACCTTTATTATCCCCTTCCTGAATCCCAGCAACATTGCCCTCAACTTGAGAGAAGCGTATTTCCATGTGGCTATCCCGTCTCCACTCAGAGGATTGTGTCATGGATTTCCTCCTGTATTCACGTGTGCTGTGACACTGCCAACATAATCCCAGCAACCAGAGTGACAGCACACTCCACTACATCTCAGGCAACTTCTGCAGCTTATCTGGCTCAAGTGCCTATATTAGACATTTGTAGGGCTGCAACTTGGTCATCGGTGCATACCTTTGTGATTCATTGTGCCGTTTCTCAGCATTCCTGAAAAGACAGCAAATTTGGACAAATAGCCCTTCAGTCATTGTTCAGGTAGACTCAAGTCCCACCTCCAGATTGAACTTCTTGTGAGTCACTTGAAATGGAATGGACATGTGCAATGAAAATGACCCATGAACCACATTCATTTCCTTCAATATCAGTGTCTCTGGTAAGAAGGAACTGAGAGTGGCTCCACCCTTTATACCATTGTGCAGCAGTATGAGGCAGCAGAGGGTACATGCTCCGCCCCAACAGATACCACTAAGGGAAAAATCTCCACCTCTGGTGCACTGTGCCCACACTCAGCTGAAGTGGAATGGACATGTGCAACACATATCAAAGAACAACAGTTACAGAACAGGTCAGTAACTGTTTTTTCTGCGTGGCTACTTCAGAATGATGTAGGACAGTCAGCAGGGCCTGGGAGCATGCACAACACATTTGGAATTTTCAGAAAATTAAGGAATAGTGCACAAATTCTGCTG